TATATATATATATATATACATACATACATACATACATACATACATATATACATACATGTAAAACATATCAAACTGAATTTGCAGAGTTTTAGGATCAACTTTGTCTAAATAGGTGATGATGTATCATAATAAAATGATACACTCTGTTACGCCAGTTGTATTTCGTGCCATGCCAAACTTGCTTCCTCTCCCTTGGAAACAACTATAAGAATAATTAATAAAAAGCAAATATCAAGTAAGCTCAATAATTTGGCACTAAAGGGATTAATTGCCTCAGCTATAAACAGTATTTCGCTTCTTTTTAAATGGTAGTTAAAAGGCAGTTTCCCAGATAGCACAGAATTCCTACAAAGCCATGAAAATTAAAGCTTGTTATGCATTAAATTGATTGCTCTGAACACAGAAACCAAAACAATTCATAACATTTGTCTGCTTTTTATCTGTTATTTTTCTCATCCAAGTCATCAGCTTAATTTTTTTAAGTCATCACCAAATTAGCTAACTTTTGCTTTTTCAGGGGTGGACATGTACTGTGTCTTCTCAAGGAGCAAGAGGGAGCAAGGTAATACAGAGGTCCTGGGCAACCAGAAGATAGGGGGACACTCTAAAGAAGCTGATACCCGAGTAGGGAGTCTTAAGTGTTGTGTCGAAGTGTTGTGCAGCTGGAATTAAGGTGTAATGGTCTGTTGGTACTGAGTGGATGCATCTGATACTGGCAATAAATGTATGTACGTGTGTGTGTGTGTGTGTTTGTATGTATATATATATATATACACACACACATACATATATATTTTATTTTTCCTGTAACTAGGTGTTAAATTGCTAATACATTTGTCAGCTTATCATCCTTAAAAGGGATTGCCACTTTCAAAATATTTTATTACCGTATATACTCGAGTATAAGCCGTCCCGAATATAAGCCGAGGTACCTAATTTGACCAAAAAAAACTGGGAAAAAGTATTGACCCGAATATAAGCCGAGGGTGGGAAATGAGGCAGCTACTGGTAGATAGATACCAATAAAATTACATAATATTATATATATATAGTAATGGGCACTGTATTTGGGCCCAATTTGGAATTATAATTGGTTAACATCAGCAGATCATTCTTCCGGACCAGCTTCTTGATGGTAACAACAGTACACAATACTTGCCAATGTGTGCTTACTGAGCTGCTTGTAGTCCCCACAAGGGTTGCATGGGACAGAGTGACAATGCAGGCACACAATGAGTTTGTGGATTTTGTAATGAAAACAGAAGTCATTCAAATGTCACAGATTTGTTTTATTTGTTCCCAATATGTATACCAGTTCATGACTGTTGCATGCTCCTATGACTTTTGTTGTACTTCCCTTATATTTTCTGGTCGGAAAACCAAGTATCAATAACGTATTGAGATACAATCTAAAAATACAACCACAGCCAGATTTATACTGCCTGCCACCCTGGCCAACTGTCTTCTGATGCTGACTTCTGATGCTGATTTCCATCCAACAAGCTCAGATAGCCACAGTCATAGCCGCACAAATAATTTTCCACTCTTTCAACACACCTATGATCAACAATTAGAAGAGCAAGACCAAATGTGATCCTGTTCTGCTAGCTGTATGGTTCTAGTTGTATTGTCACAAAGTTGGTGAAATATAAGTACACATTATACCGGTCTACCAATGACATTAACACACTGGATAGGACCAGCAACAAGGAGCCTACTGGAACACTCTTGTATCCTAAGGAGAGATGAAGATGAGGTGCTGGATATGGACCCCCACTATATAATGAGATAAATCCTTATACAGAGGAACAGCTTTTGCTCAGAAGCTCTCCATGAAATAGGGGCACCTCTAAAGACATGAGGTTACATACTCTGAGAAGTCCATAAACATTTCAACCAAAGAGGATGCCAAACAAGAGTTCTGAGGCTAGGTTCATCCCTGCACTACACAGCACAACATCTGGGATGCACGTCCCGGGATCGTGCGGTCCTGTACAATGCAGGCAGCAATTGCCTCATGGCCCCATTGATTGCAATGGGGTGACATCCACACGGAAATCGCAGAAAAAAGGTAGAAGTACCTTCTTTTTGCGATACATGACGTGCGGCTGTTTTAGCCGCGATCGTGTTAGGAAGCAAGGGCAGAATCACGGCAAAAAAAACGTGCGATCCGCCCTGCGTGACTGGGGTGCCTTTAGAAAATAATGGCATCCACGGGGTGATCGGTTCACACTTTGGATGATTCCTGACCATGCGGCAATCCAAGCAGAATCGTGCACGATTGCCGCACGGTGAGGTGTCGCCTAGGTTTGAACCTAGCCTTAGGGTTCAAAGTGACACTTGACTATTGATTCTGCAAATTAAAAAAGGAGAAAACACAAGACATCCAATATGTTTTGCTTAGCAATCCCCCTTCATCAGGTCTTTAAAAATCAACTAGATGTCTATTCAAAGAAGAGGAGAATAATCTTTAAGAAAAGTGCATGTGTCAGCAGCCAAGCAGCACACCTGTTATTAAAAGATTATTTCCCGAGTTTGAATTGAATTTTCCAGGAGCTTTGCTTGCTGTCAACTGACACCTAGTCAATTTTTTTAAGCCCTGATGAAGGGGTGGGTGCCTTGGATACCCAATAAAATACCACTTTAGACTTAAATAACTCATTTGGTGCCATCTTTGGTTTAAATGCTTATGGAATGCTCTGGTAGGCAGGCAGTTATCTGCTGCTCCAGGCCATTGGCTATTTAATTTGTCCAGAAATCTGGTCCTGAAAACAGATCAACATGTGTGTGAATATGTCAACTAATACAATGAGCAAAATATACACAATTGGTTATACATATAAACACAATCCTGCTAATTTACATCCTAGTTTTCCTCTTTAGTTCTCAGATTAACTGGTATGCTGGGAAATTGTGCTTCACCCAGCCATTTGTTCATCTCTAGTTGCAGGATAGAGAGGGATTATCTAATTCATACAGTAGCATTCTATAGCAATCAACCATTAACCAGATTCCTTAAAAGGCACACCTCTATTGTCTTATTACTTTTTAATGGTTTAGCTCTTGAACAGATTTAGGGATTTCAAAGAAAAGGTGTCTACAATTGTATGACATCTTCAATCCTTTCCTATCTTGGGTTTTGCATACATTTAACTTATTCATTGACTTTTCACACAGATTTATACAGAATTGCTCATGTGCAAAAGGTCATGCATAGCAGCCAAGTGCTGATCGGCATGGACTTCTGCACATAAATCCTTTCTTAGACCTGTGATGTTCTGACTGTACTGTGTGTGAAGAAACAAGCAAGCTGTAAATGCCAATTGCATATTCTCTCTCTCTTTTGTTTTAGGAAATCAATGATGCTGAAATAGTGGAGCTTGTGCACAGCGCTCTTGGAAGGATTACTGTTATAAGACAAATCTTTCCTTCTCTGAAAGAAAGTAATATCAGATGTATGAGTAATAACCACAGAATTGCTTCACTTCCCTGTGACCCGCAAGAAGGCTATCTACAAATGTTACAGGTCAGTTTTTAAACTCTTTCAACTGTGTTGTGTTAAGAACAGGACAGAACATTACGGTTATAAGAATATAACAATATGTATTAAAACAGAACATGAATAGCAAGTGCATGTAGAAGCAATGCCAAAATCAGTAAATGTGTATTTGTTCATGCTTGCTAAATTTTCTTTGTTTTGGAAAGCCTGATGTTTCCATTTTAGGCAGTGCGTACAGCAGGACCAGGCCATTTGATCACTTGAGGGGGTTCTGCCTCATGTTGAAATCACTCTGGTCATGGACACACCCCATCCTATAGTCCTTTATGCAAGTAAAAATATACCTAAGTTCATTATGTTTAATTTGGGCAGGTATAAGCTGTTGATAGCTCAGTAGAACTTCTCTGTTCCCCCCAGTGCTTTTGATTGACATCATTAGTTAAAATATTTAAAGGACAGATATTGCACAAACTTAGCTATAAACAAAACTGTAGCCTGGAGACTTAAAGTCAATTTCTACCTTTGTAAGTGATTGGCATTTATTGTGGTAATGAATAGGCGTAGTGATGTATATGTGTGCACATTTTCATGACTCACTTTGCAGGCTTTCTTCATTTTTTAAATTAAGTTTTACTTAGCCTGAATCCTAGAAATTCAAACTGTTCTCCACAGGAAATTCAGTCTGACACTGGGGTCGGATTGTAAAGTAGGCTGTAAACAGATGCCCCCCTCCCTGTAATTTGTTGTAACACGATCACTAAACACCAGCTCTGCCTTTGTACATAATACACTGTCTTGGGGGTCACTATGGATACTAATGTATGGGAGGGGGGAGGTGGAGAACTCACAGTGAGAGCTCATTTGTAATATACACACATTGCTTGCACAGAACAGAGGTGCCCATTTTCATGAGGTGATGAAGAGGAAAGCTAACAAAAAATTTAAGTTTCTGTGGTCAAATACAGCAACTGCATATGTCTGCTTCATGTATACACTCAGTGTACATTGCTAGTGCATGTTTAAAAAAAATACCCCATGCAAAAATGGAAATGGACTTTAAGCACTGCTCCAATAGCAGCACTAATTTATAATACAGTATCTTTTATGAAAGTATTATGAACCACTAACTTTCTCTAATGTAACCAGCAGGACAAGCCCATCAAGCTCCCAGAAAGGGTTCAAGAATTGGTTTTAATTTCAGGAGGATCCTTCCTCCAAGTAATGTGACAGCATTAAACAGAGCTATAGTTATTCTAAATAAACAATATCACATTTGAAAAATAGATAAGCCAGTTCCCACCACCAGTTTTTACTGTTACCGGTGAAGGAACAGACACAATTGGGTTAATTTAACAAATGGGAATAGGCTGTTGACTTTGCAAGGGAATTTGCACTTTGCAAATGAATTTCTCTTCTAAAGGGTAATTCTATTTCTCATAAAATGTGAGAAAATAAGCTTAACCAGAGCATTCCACCAACTCCACCCACCCCCTTTATACAGTTTAGCTGTATGTGGAATGCCCCCACCCTGTGCTGCTAGCAAGGGCACTGCTGACGCACACTGAGGATCCAGAATAGCATTTGAAAATGGTGAGTGCTTATTGGTCAGCATGGTCACATGGCCATGCTGTCCAATGAGAAGTGATTTTTTTTTCTACTTTAACATCCATTTGTTAGCAGTGGACATTGACTATAATGGATAAAGTAACCTCTGCAATTGTTCAATATAAGATGTCAACAGCTCCATGACCATGGTTTTATATATTTACACAACTCTTGACTTATATTCTTGATTTCAGTCTGCTTGTGTTTGTTATTGTTTTTATCAAATTATTTTTTTATATTTACTCACAAGTAATGCTGAATATGAGAACATAAGTGCATTTAAAAAAATCTATTCTTTTTTATGACTCTTACCACTAGTTAATTTTAGCATACAATATAGACAGTTATTCCACTCATAATGATAACTGGGTAACTATCCCATCTGTCTTTGAACATATCATTGATCTACCAGGATCAGCCATGATCTTTTCTCTAGTTCAACATGTTTGTCATTTAATTGGTATAAGGAGTAGCTCTAATGTGAAGCGTTCATTATAGGTCATTAGAGAAGTTCTACATCTCTGATCTTGATTTATTGTTGAAAGAGATGAATGAATCTGAATCTTATGGATAAAGCCACGTATGGCCTCTTTTAGGGATTTTGTTGATGGGTTAATGGACATGGACGTGTCAACGGCATCTGATTTACATCCATTTGAAATGTTTCTGAGATTATTCAGAATGAATTGACAGGTGTTTTTGACATGCAGTTGACCTTCTGACCAGCATTTTACCCTCTTTGATTGGGTTTTGCAGCCCCATAGATTTGTACAGGAATGAAAAACCCATTTGACAAGTACAAAATTCTGTCCACACAGGTCTTTAGAGTCATTGGCAAAAAGGCAGGAAAGGTTCATACCTTCAAGTGTTTGCTGACTTTTAATAATGTTATTACATTCTGTGCAATGATGATGTGGTATTTACTTCAAATAAATTCAGAAATATTTAGAGGGCTCCTTAGATAATAACCCTCTAAATATTTCTGAATCCTCTGACTTGTCCATTTATTTGAAGCCATAGCTTTGGCTAATCCTTCGGCTCACTTTGGCCACCGGAGCCATCTGGTTCAGCTGAACCAAAGGGTTGCTATTCGGGCTATTCCCTGGAAAAGCATCTTGTCCTTATGCCAATTGGGACAAGGGCTTCTTCCCCACAAGCCCTGACCCGTTAGTTGTGGGGGTCTGCAGGCCAGGGTTCTTATTTGCATTGGGGTACACCTTTATAAAGGGGGCACCCAGATGCTGCCCCCCCTTGTGAATGAGTAAGGGGTACTTGTACCCCTACTCATTCACTAAAGGGTTAAAAGTAAATAAACACACCAGACTAAATCTTTTAATTGAAAAAAAAGGTCAAGTACTTTAATAAAAAATAAAAACACCAAAAACTTAAAAAAAGGAATCCACCGCCATAATCCAAAGGTCAATCAACAAGTCCAGCATTGTCCACAATGACGCTGACTTGTTGAAATAAAAAAAAACTACGCCTGCTGACTCCTGCTGCAAAATGACATCCTGACAGATGTTGGCAAAATATAAACAATTGGGCGGAGCTAGTGGTGACATCACCGCTAGCTCCGCCTAACTGTTTACATTTGTCTGAAACCTGTCAAACTCTTCCCGCAGGTCTCGACCAAATCAAAACAAATGGGCTGAGTCGGCCTTTTCGTCATGGCTGGCTCCGTCCATTTGTTGTAATTCAATGACAGGTCACTGTGCTCAGGTCTGTTTATTTACTATTAAACCTTTAGTGAATGAGTAGGGGTACACTTACCCCTTACTCATTCTCAAGGGGGGCAGCATCTGGGTGTCCCCTTTATGAAAGAAGGTACCCCAATGCAAATAAGCCCCTCTGCCTGCAGACGCCCACAACCAATGGGTCATGGCTTGTGGGGAAGAGGCTCTTGTCCTCATTTGCACGGGGACAAGGTACTTTTCCAGGGGAACACTACTTGTGCTTGGGGGTCATCTCAGGGTGGTTAAGACTCAGGAACATGTTTTACAAAGATTTTACAAATATTTTTTTTGGCTTGGAGTGTACCAGGAAATTAAGTACTTCTGTGAGTCTTGTCCGACCTGCCAAATAACCACCCCAACACCCCATTTTCTGAATCCTTTGGTGCCGCTTCCGGTTATTGAAGTGCCATTTCAACGAATAGCCATGGACTTGGTGGGCCCCTTAGTCAAGTGAGCTAGGGGACACCAATACATCTTAGTAGTCCGTGACTATGCTACCAGGTATCTCGAAGCAGGCCCCTTATGGAACATCTCTTCGAAGGTTATCGCACGGGAGTTGGTCAGTCAGGATCTCGGACGGGAGCCCGGTTTTCGTGAACATCTGAAACAAGGAACACCATTCATGTCTAAGATAATGAAAGAACTGTGTAGACTGTCCAGGATTAAACACTTGCGGACTTCAGTAAATCATCCGCAAACTGATGGTTTAGTGGAGCTGTTTAACAAAACCCTGAAGGGGATGTTTAAGAAAGTGGTTGAGAAAGATGGCCGTGACTGGGATTTTTTATAGCCTCATCTATTGTTTGCCATATCACAGGTACCCCAGGCATCCACAAGCTTATCACCATTTAAGTCAGTTTATGGAAGACACCCCCGTGGATTGCTGGACATAGTTAAGGAGACCTGGGAGCAAGAAACCATGCGTTATCAAAGTGTGGTAGAACACGTTGCACAAATGCAGGACCGAATAGCGTACGTAATGCCCATAGTCAGGGAGCATTTTCAGGCTGCACAGTCAACTCAAAGTTGCTTGTATAACTGGTCTGCCAAGGTCGAGAGTTTCAACCTGGTGATCGGTTCTGGTGTTAGAACCCACTGTGGAAAGCAAGTCCCTGGCAAAATGGCAGGGACCTTTTAAATTTGTTGAGAAAGAGGGGACGGTTAACTATAAGGTCTTCCAGCCCTCCAAGAGAAAACCCTACCAAATCTATCATGTTAACCCAATTAAACCCTCGAAGGAAAGAGAGGCTTTGATGGTAAAGCAGGAAGGACATTGAGATCCTGACGTCTAGATTAGAAAAGTAGGCATAGCAGGGACCCTCTCACCTGCCCAAAAACAGGAAACCTGGGAGTTCTTGCAGAGAAATAGAGACATTTTCTCAAATCTGCCAGGTTTGACCAAAGTAATTAAGCACAATATTCTCACAGACCCTGGTGTTTGAGTGAACCTTAAGCTACCTTAATGTTACCTGTTGGGCTGGCCCTTTAAGCTGGTGTCAGACCATGCCCCTCTTATGTGGGTGGCACAGAATAAGGATAGGAACTCCAGGATAACCAGATTGTTTCTCGCCCTTAAATATTTTGATTTTACTGTGTTGCATAGATCGGGGAAAGTGCATCAAAATTCGGACGCCCTTTCGCGGGTCTATTGTCATTTTGTCCAGGCCCCTGGCCAAGGACAGGGGGGAG